TGGGGGGAGGGGGGGTGGAGATTCTCTCTTTCCGTGTGTTAAAGTCTGGCGGTAGGTTGTGAGTTGTCACGTTGTATTCATACGTTAGAAATCTCTATGACGGGGTTTTGATGTCAAACTCGCTTCGAGAAAACCCAAATGATTGGTTCTGACTTCATTTTCGTATGCATAGAACCAAAATGATTTCATTCCACGTCATTTTCGTTTGTATGGAAACTACATGATTGGTTCTGATCGTTTGTAAGGAACCCGAAAGGTAGGTTTTTTTAAAATCTTACTCTTTTGTTAGAGCCAAAGATATCTATCTTCCATTTTGTAATGTAAGTTTGTAAGTGTACAGGCACGTCGACATTTTAATAGTTTTTTAAATCATTTTTTTTTAGGGAGGGGGGGGATTGAGGGGTGTCATTCATAATATTATACTCTTAGAGTAGAGGAACTGAAAATATCTTATTTCTGGGAACAAACATTTTGGTCCAAGCTTCATTTTGTTTCCTGGGAGGTTTCTGCTGGCAAGAACCTTAGGGAAAGGGAGGACATAATATGCTTAGCTTTCATGGTTTGATTTTTTTCTTGCATACTTTTCTGTATTTCCTCTTTAGTTGTTGCTGTTATCGTCTTTAATCCTGTTGTTGTTGTTGTTGTTGTTGTTGTTGTTGTTGTTGTTGTTGTTGTTGTTGTTGTTCTTGTTCTTGTTCTTGTTCTTGTTCTTGTTCTTGTTCTTGTTCTTGCTTGGGTAAAAGTTAGGTATACACCTCATCCCCGCTTCGAACAAGGTAACTAAGTGCTAACCATCCATCGTCGCATGGGGTGCGGGGGTTGCAGCTGTGTTTAATAGCGGGTGCCCATTTGTCAGATTGTCCCAATCTGAATAATTACTAGATCTGGTCGGGTCAGGTCGATTAATGGCATGACCATTGCCCACTATATCATATTGGCCTCATATTTGCTTTTTCATTTTTCACCCGTAAAGTCCATTTGAGTCAATTGTAATTCACATGCAAACAAATCTGATCACACAATGCCCAAGAATCGTCTGCTTATGTGCTTTTGTCAATCGTAAAAAAAACGTCAATTGGGCAAAACAAACACATTTCATTTTGGAGGATTTTATCATACGTCGCCAAAGTGATATTTTTGTCATTTTATTCTCCACGAAAGGAAACTTCAAATGCATCAATAATTATATAATTAATAGAGATTTAACAAAACTTCTCTGCGACGTTCGCTAGGTTTTACACGAATAGGAAAAAAGCGAGCTGCGGTCATCTTGATGCACCCAGTATTGAGAGGTGGGGGTGAGGTGTAACTTGACGTTTTTTTTTATTGCTTATTCTTTTGTTCCTTTGTTTGTCTCTTGCTGTAGTTATTTTCTTTGAAAGGAGAAATGTTTATGATTGTAGTAGATCTAGCCTAATTGACTGAACCAGAAGCAGACTTAAAATATTCACTTGCGCTCACTAACTTCATGTATGCAGCAGCAGAGCACAAACACACACACACACACACACACACACACACACACACACACACA